GGATACTTGATAGCAAGAGCGCATCTATATGAGATGTTAAACCTCTGTTTTAGATGATAGAAGGGTCAATATATAAACACATAAATGAACCAGACAGGAAGAGCTTCAACCATTGTCTTACCTGCTAAGGATCCCAAGGGGTCACATGAAACCATAATTTGACATATTTCAGTGAGATATAGAATATAAACATATAGTGGTCAAATATGGACAACTAAATTTTTTGAGCCCATAACATCCATGAATGCTTAAGTGCCTTTCTTTTGGTATGACTTATGGATGCTTGTCATGTGCAGACAAATTCCTTGATCAATGGATGCTTGTCATGTGCAGACACTAAATTAGTCATACATTCTGAATTCTAAAACTTATCATTACCGTTGCATAAACTAGTCTAACAATTAATATTCATTATCACAACCAACCTTGAATTTTTTACATAACATAGTGAGTGCAATGCTTTTGAGCTTTGGCTCATAGCAGGTTCTAGGGGTGTAGCAAGCAGCTACACCATTTGTTTAAACCATTTGTTTTTCTTCATAACATACGTCAAACTTCTTCAAGTTCTTCAAGTAGCCTATCTTTAAACCATTTGTTTTTCTTCATCCTTATCGTTGCTCTTACCGGGTATGATTATCGGTCCTTACAAGTTCATTCGGTAAGGAAAATTACCTGGCAAGCACCTCATTGGGTATGATTATCGGACCTTACATGTTCATCCGGTAAGGAAAGTTACCTAGTAAGCATTTACCGGGTAGGCGTTTAGTAAACGGCACCTAAGCCAACCATAAATTCTTCTACTTGATAGTAGTAATTGGCCAACATCCCTTTTAATAAGAGGAAGTCTGTCCCCTAAAGCTTATTCCTCTAAAATAAATACGCTTGATTGTATCATACTTCAACTTGTTTTTAAATTGTATGATCTCTAAAGAAGTGAATATTTAGCTTCTAAAATACTAGTGGTGGTACTATTTTAGAATTAGAGTAAAAAAACTTATGTTGCTTTACTTGTCTTTTTTCCCCATATTCTATTACAAAAGATTTAGCAATTATTAGGACACTTCTGTTTTCATGGCAGAGAACATGAGGAAGGGGCCTTTAGTAGTGATGATGACCTTGGTGCAATAGATTTAAATGAAGACTGGTTCAATAATGAGTTTTCCGATGTCGATGAAGATGATGTCGCTAGTTTAGATCATCTATCGGACGGGGATGATGAAATTAGGGAAGTTCGATC